AGAAAAAAAAAAATTTAATCACACTTTTTCCTGTCCTTTTCTCTTTATTTTTTTCTTTCTGTTAAAAAACAAACACACACACACACACACACACACACACACAGAGGCAGAGGGAAGGGGAAAAGGGAAAGGAGAGAATAGTAATGAAAGATTAAAAAGAAAATGGGGAAATGAGGAACAAATGAAAAAACAAAGTAGAGATAGAAAAAAATTAAAGGGAAGGCAAAGGGAAGAAGGGAGAATGAACAAAAACAAGAAAACAATGAAAGGTACAAAACAAAAACTGAAACAAAAAACAGTGCAGCTGTTGAACCTGGAGAGGAGCAAATGCTGGGGGTCTGCTGCCAGTCAAGCTCACCAGGTGGGTGTGGGGGCACGTGATGGCAGTTTCTAGCCCTAGATGGAGTTCCTATAGGCCTAGGTGTTGTCTAGTTCATGGAGGCCTTGAGGGAGCTGGTTTCTGTGTCTGTTAGGACCCCAGGGCAGCTAGTTATGAGCCACCTGAGTCCAGGCACCAAAGCAGTGGACTCAGCACCTGTCTCATGTCTCACACTTCTGTGGTTCACAGCTGTGCTGCTCTGACCTCCCAGAGACCAGGGTCCGCGGCCGTGGGTTGGGGAGAATGGAGGTTCCTCACCTCCAGGAACCAGGGGAGCACGGGGGAGAGAAGGAACCATATCTTTCCTGTCACCAACATGAATCTCCTCTGCCAGGTCACCTTCTGTTGCCGAAGCTGATCACAAAAGTTTAAGGTTGCTGCTCTGCATGTGGTCGGTGGTCTACCATTTGTTCTTTCTCCTACGGCTCCTGATCAGCTTCTCCTTCCAGTAAGCAGTCAGTCCACTTCTCTAGTCTAAGCGCAGGGTTCCAGGGTTATAGCACCTGTGTGTTTCATTTGGTCTCCCATAGGTTTATTACAGAGGGTCTGTGGAGTACGTCTACCCAATCTGCCATTTTGCCAGAAGTTCCTTCGGGACTTTCTTTTGACGACTATCCTGTTTGTGTGTGTGAGCTCTGAGGTAGGTTATCGTCTTGATTTTCATGATATTAAGAAGTTTTCTACAAGCAAATCTACTGTGAAATGTTGTTTCTTTTTCTCGTTGCTTCCTCCTGTTCCGAAATTCTGATCACATGTACAATTTCAATAGCGTACCAGGTAATTCTTAGTGATTTCTTCATTTTTCTAACTCTTTCTCAAATTGGTGTCAAGAGATTTGTCCTCTTTTTCCTGATTCTATCTCCGCTGATTCAATGCAGCTCCTAAGCTATTTCTGAAATTTTGTTTGGAGTTTTAGTTGCTGTCTTTGTATTGTTTTCAATTGTCTGTTTTGTTTCATTATTATATTCCTTTTCTTGAGTTCTTCTGTTTTGTTTTCCTTGGTGTCTGAAAGAATCTTCTATATGCCTTTTCCCAGAACTTTTCCATTGTTTTGCCTGTTTCCCCGCTCTCTATAAGAACTCAGGTAATTACATTGATAGTGGTCAGTTGCTGGAGCCATCTTATACTGTTGCCTTATGTGATCTCATTATTTTTTATGTTGTTTCCAAGGCTGTAAGGTGTTATGTTTGTTTTCTTTTCTTTTGATATAGGCGAGCAGGCCAAGGGAACTACTCTGGCACACTGGCATTCTTGAGACATCTCTGGGAAGTAAGGTTTTCAAAAACCAACAAGTTTGATGTTTGCTAGTCTTTATCTGTAGAGAATGCTTTTTTCCTTGATTATCATCCCTGTTGCCATCAAGTCAATTTGGAGTCATAGCAATACTACAGGAGACTCCAACAGCCCCACAGGGGTTCCAAGACTGTAATATGTAGGACAGCAGATCACCGGGTCTTTCTTTTGCTGAGCAGATGGTTGGGTTCCAACCTTTGACCTTTGGGTTCGCATTAGAGCATCCAACTCCTGCACCATCAGGGCTCCTTGATGACTAGAACGGTGGCAGAAATGTCACATTTCACACTATGGCCAGTCCTTGGATTGAAAACATGGTGCCAAGTTATCTGAATTGCTTGCCACATTTCCGTGGTGTGAACGCACCACCGTGATTTCTGCAGTATGGACACGTCCCCACGATTTTCCGGGACTTGGCACTAAGAAGCGATGTGCGGTTTGTGTGAGCCTGCTTCTACACACTTCTGGTTTTAGGTCTCCATAATCGAGACAGAAACACCAATTGATTGCAGCTTCCCTAGACCAACCAGCAATGACAAAACCACTTCATATGACTTGTTCTGTAAAAAACTTCACAGATGATCTGTGACATAGATCATAGGGAGGGCACAACTAGCTTATTTAGTCCAGCCTTTAATGAACGCTGAGTAAACAGTGTCCAGCACCGTGCTGACTGCCAGGGAGCCTACAGAGCACACAGTCTAAACAGGGATGGGCACCACGCTGCTGGAGAGTAGCCACTTAGTGCGACAGCAACTCAGTGGTAGCTTAGGAATCGTTTCTGGAAGTAGTTCTGTGAGTCATAAGCTGGTATTTAGCCTAGCAGAGGAAAGGACACTGTACTGGAGCAATGGAGATGGGAATGAAATGACATCAGTGTTGATCCCGGGCGCAGTGTGGCTTCAATGCAGCAGTGTCAGGCACGTACGCACTGATGAGCAAGTACACCCCACAACTCCCCTGCATGTAGCGCACAGGGGGATCAGAAGCCAGTGATCCATTCACAGCTCTGTAAGTAAAGCCCCTATAGAGCTTTCTAAGGAGCCCTGGTGGTGCTGTGGTTAAGTGCTCGGCTGCTGAAAGGTTGGTAGTTCAAACCCACTAGCTGTTCCAAAGGAGGAAGATGAGACAGTCTGCCTCTGTAGAGATTTCAGCCTTGGAAACCCAATAGGGCGCGTCTACTCCTTCCTATAGGATTGCTACAAGTCGAAATGGACTTGACAGTGGATTTTGGCTTTTAGTTTATAGTTTTATGGCAGAGACCAAATGCTGTTAAATAATCAAAGTGAAACTTAAAAGAGCTGTTCAAGTTGGGCCTACATCAAAAAATGTCCACCCCAAATTTCAAAATGGTCAAGGCTCTGAGAAGCAGCACCTCCACTTAGGCTCATCTGAGTAAGTATCTGTGCATGGGGAATGTATGGAAATCGGCCCAGTAGCTGGCTCCAGAGTTATGGAACAAGTCTCAGTTCTCAGACCGCAGCCCCGACACTGGTAATAGAGCTAAGGTTAGGAGTGACAGACAGGAATTCTGGAGCTAGTGCTCAGAGGACACGGCCAAGTGCTCACCTGTCACAAACTCTTTACATTACAAACTATGTGGTCCTGTATTTGATCAAATGAGTAGAATCATGTCCTCATAACAAATTTTGTATTCGCAAAAAAATTTGGAATTTCCACCTTTATATGATTCTCCTAATTAAATAATAACAATACCGTATAATGTCATTCTGGGGCTGATTAGCAGATAAAAGAATGTTAGATAAAAGACATTCACAAAAAAGTGAATGTTGGTCTGACAAGTTGATTCCCAATCCTCACATGAAAATCATTGAAAAATCAAATTTTCATATATAAATTCAAAATGTGTATTTAAAAAAATCATTTGTGTCTCATCAGTTCAGACAGTATTTTCTCTCACACAGAAGGTTCCCAAATAAAGACACATGCACAAAATATAGCCAACAGCAGGTTATACCGATTTACTTCACATAAGGACAGTGTATTTCAGGCCTATGATTTCAGTTCAACATCAACAAACGCAAATCTGTACAGAAAACCAATGGCAACCATATAGCATAATATGTAAAATGTGCAAATATACTTGAAAATGCAGGTTATTCTATAGCCTTTGTAAGGTAGACCTCTGTAGTAAGGAAGGGATCTACCTCATCCTAGCAAACGATACTCTTTTGTATGTAGAATGAATGCAAATGTACAAGGCACAGATTAGTGTTCACAATGAAGTGTTGTGACACCCACTTTAAAATTATTTGTTGGAACATATTACAATAACACAATTTCTTGCATGTATTTATGATTTATTGAGGCCATCAGCTTGTTTCTAAAGCTTTAGAAAGCATTACATTGATGACATCTGTGTGGTCAGGACAAGCTGTCCCCTCAATTTAACAGGTAAGACAAGACCCTTCCTATTCTATCTGTAAAAGAATTTGTGTATATATGTATACATGTGTGTGTCTCTCTATATATATACATACACATACATACCCCCATATCACACACAAGAAATTTCCCATAATTCAATGGAGACCATTTACTTATTAACAAAGTTTCCCATTATAGTAGCTCATGGCAGAATTCTTTTAAAATTGCGTACTTCTTTATCAACTGTTTTGGTCAAACTTGCTACAAAAAGACACTGGAATTAACACTCTTTTTCTTCAAGGTTGAGACAATGCCTGATTTCGAGTGTTTCCCTTGATATTGCACAGTGAGAGGTGCTGTGTTCAGTGAAATAGAAAAACTTGCTGCTTTGGGAGGAAATGTAGAAGTCCCCGGCCTCCCCTCGGAGACGAGACGTGTCCTGCAGCCCCTCCCTCCTCAGCCCCAAGCCCGGCACTCGGCAGCGCCATCATTTCTTGGTCATCCCTGAGTAGAGTCTAGCATTTTCTAAGAAAGTAAAGACATTTTACGTTGATAATAAGAACAATGCTTAAGAATTTCCCCCCCAAATATAAAATCTAAAAAGAAAAAAGATGTGTTCTTTGCAAAGACCACCATTCATAAAAATTGCAAATATTTGCCTCTCAATCCATTTTAATCTGCTTTTTACTGGGTGATTCACATAGCACTCATTTCTTCATAACTCATTTTATCAGTGTTGTTAATAGGAGCATTTACTATGTAATGGAGGAAAAGTACAGTATGAAACTGAAGGGAACTCTGAGTAGAGACAGATAGATATATCCCTGTGGCAAAAGAGAGGTCTCAAAGTGGGTATCATCTGAATGCCATTCAAGAAAGGCAAAAAATATCGACAAAAGAAAGAATACATGTGGTAAACCTTTTCCTTGTTGTCTTTGGTTTAGCCTTCTTGGCCAAAATCCTCTGTAAACTTCTTCAATTTCAACAAATCCTGTTCATTTACTGTGGGTTTTGTGCTAGAAAGCGACCGTAACATATCCGACTGTAAGAGGGAAGAAAATAAAAGGAGAAATATTAGTAACAGATTTAATAAAAATCATCACATCATTGGTCATTATTACTAATTTCAGCCCAATGATAAATATGAGAATTTACAGTGTGTTTGAAGTCAAAGACAAGAAAATAATGTTATTCTTTCTAAAAGTGCCATGGTGACTCAACAATTGAGCACTTGGCTGCTAACTGAAAGGTAAGCAGTTCGAATCCATCCAGCACTTCACAGGAGACAACCTGGTGATTTGTACTTATAAAGACTGTTGTTATTGTTAAGTACCATCAAATTGGTTTCAACCCACAGCGAACCTGTATAGGATTTCTGAGGACCAGCTGGTGAGCTTGAACCGCCAACCTTGTGGTTCAAACAGACTTTGCAATCCAGCGCATTTGCCTGCAATGGCACACCTAGAAAATCTGATAGGGGACTTGTACTTGGTCACATGCTGTACTTGTTGAGTTGGAACGGACACAACAGCACCATCTAATACCACAACGTTCTTTCTAAAGGACATCTGTAACTAGGTCATTGCTTTGCAGACCCACTAAAAGCCACTGCCATGAAGCGGGTTCCGACTCACAGCGGCCCCTACAGGTCTGAGGAGAGCTGCTCCATAGGAGCTCTGAGAGGAAACGCTTCACGGGAGCAGACTGCCTTCTCTTCTCTTTCTCCCTCAGAGTGACTGTGGGGTTCAAACTGCAGACCTGTCGGTTATTAGCCCGACATTTAAACTTTTAATTCCTCCCTTTGTCCTCTCAACATCTGAATCACAAACCTCTTAGTCTAAAGGTCAAGGCCTTCCAAAAATATGTTTACCGTCTATTTTCTGATCTTCTTCTTGTTGTTGTTATGGGCCGTGGAGTCGTTTCCGACTCATAGCGACCCTGTACAGGGTTTCTGAGGCTGTAAATCTTTACAGGAGCAAAAAGCCTCATCTTTCTCCCACGGAACAGCTGGTAGTTTCAAACTGCTGACCTTGTGGTTCATAGCCCAATTTGTAACCACTATGCTACCAGAGCTCCTTTTTTTTCCCTGGCCTATCTGTTTAAAACTATTTTTATACAACAGCCAGGGTTCCAACTAAGTGCAATTCAAAAGGCGCACGCTCAGTCACCCGTCTTTCCATTCAAAAGGCGCACGCTCAGTCACCCGTCTTTCCATTCAGAAGATCATTTCATCAGAACCATTCAGCCAGATGTTGTAACTAATGGGAATTAAGTCAAAATGTTAAGAAAAAATGCTAATATCAGGGGTTAACTTAAAAAATCAACTTCTAGGTCACGTCTCCTGTAAGATAGTGGGGCAAAGGACAAGGGTAAAGGGGAGCATGTTACAGTCTTCAAAGGTAAAAAAAATTACAAAAATCGTAAAAAAAAAAAAAACCTCTGTAAAAAACCCAGTAATTTATCAAGGTAACGTTAAATAAATAAGGGTTAAATAAATAATTAACTTCTCAGCTAAGCATTATGGTTAACAGGCGCATATAAAATCCATCATCACAGAGCCAATTCTGACTTCCAGCGACCCTGCTGTTTCAGGACTACCAGGCGCCTTTAGCACATACATGTTGTTGTGAAGTGCCGTCGAGTCGGTTCTGACCCACAGCGACCCCGTATAGGGTTTCTGAGGAGCAGCTGGTGAACTTGAACCTTGCAGTTCAGCGTATTTACCCACAGTGCCACACCAGGACTCCTTAGCACATGCATAGAGGCTTCAAAAAGTTGATAGAAAAATCCATTACATATTTAATTCCACTTTTCCATGAACTTTCTGGGGCCCCTTCATATAAATTTATCTATGTATTTACATACACATGCACACACATCTTTATGTATCTGTTGACACATGTAAGGAACGCTTGCAGTTCTACAGGTTACACACTGGGCTGCTACCAGACACTTGGTGGGAGAAGATGAAGGGTCTGCTCCCATAAAGCTTTAGTCTCACAACTCCATACGGGATCCTCATGAGCCAGAATCAACTTGACGGCAGCAGGTCGATTATGTATCTGTCTGTGTATGTGCCTATGTGCTGCGGTAGGATCAGCACCAAACTGCAAACTTCAAGGTCAGCAGTTCGAACCCACCAGCTGCTCCTTGGGAATCCTATACAGGGTTGCTTTGAGTTGGAACCGACTCAATGACACTTAACAACAACATATACCAGTAAGAGCCCTGATGGCACAATGGCTAACTGCTTGGCTACTATCCAAAAGGTTGGCAGTTCAAGCCCACCATTCAGCTCCACAAAACAAAGATGTAGCAGTCTGCTCCCATGAAGTTAGTTAAGTGCCATCAAGTCAATTCCGACGGACAGTGAACTTGTATAGTGTTTCCGAAAAGCGGCTGCTGGGTTTGAACTACCAACCTTGTGGTTAGCAGTCCGGTGCTTACCCTATTGTGCTATACCAGGACTCCCCCATAACTGGGGGTAGTTCTACCCTGTCCTACCAGGCCCCTGTAGGGTCTCTGTCAGATGAAACAGACTCCATGGCAGCGGGCTTGGTCTGTTTGTTTTATGTAAGATTAAATACACATGCCTGGATCAGACTAACGTTTTCCAGCTAACATGGAAAAATTGGAAAAGAAAAACTGCATCTGCATTTGGGAAATTATAAAGTACAATGCTTTAAACTTTTTCTTAAAAAAGAAAAACAAAAGTTCGAACCATGCAAACAACTGGCTCCAAAAGTTTATCCCCAGGGACATCCATCCATGTCATTTCAACGGCACCGGGATCGCCTGGGGAGCAGGGCGTCAGCAGATCGTCCACCATTTGGTTAGGGTCCGCACGTGAAGGGCCGCAAACCTGGAGTACAGAATAACCCAGAATAAGTAAGACTTGAGCCACGGCCACAAAAGCTGAAAACATGTTTCTATTTTACGTTTCATCAACACGTCTTCTTCTGGAAATAGATAGAATGGAATTGACCATAAAAGTAGTTATCTCTGGGTGATGGAAAATGTTTTGATTTAAATTGTTTTCTAGATGTATTTCTAGATCATACTGAAATTTCCTACAAGAAATTATTTATATGGTCACAGCAGAAAAATTCGTTTAAAAACAAAACAAAGAAAGCAGTTACCTATGGCTAAGATTTCTTTTAAATCTAAAACGTAATAAATAACATAAACTTAAGAAACCAAAAATGGACATTCTTCAACAATTCTCTTTAGTGTCTATTTCTCCACAGCTGAAACTCTCCTGTGGTAAGCAGAAGCTCTCATTTGAAATTACTGAAATTCTCTTTTTTTCAACAAAAACTCCTTGAAATTTAAGTACAAAATTATTTGCACTTACAATACCTTCTTGTGATTCATAAGTGATTTAAAATAAAAAAGTTCTAACATCTAGGAAAAGAACCCATGTGACATTCAGCCCCACAGAAACACTGAGATGGCAGCCACACACTGGTGACAAACTGGAACCCACTTTCCCTTTTAAAGTTTGGTTTATAATGATCAACCTTAAATGGCTCAGGAATGATCAGTGGCCACTTCAAACATTTAAACACACTAGCTGGGGTCCTGACTTGGTGCTGTAGGGTTACAAGGAACTGCTAACCACAGGATCGGGGGTTCAAACCTATCAGCTGCTTCTATACAAGGTCCTACCATTTGATGGCACACAACAAGCCATGCTGATTTTCACTGTGTTAGTAAGCTACAGGTGTCATGAGTGCAGGTGATTGTGATGAAGGACAGTCTAGACCCCAAAGGCAGCCTTACAACCACAACCAATCACACGTGAGTAATACATTAACACAGAGATGCTTCCAAAGCTAAACAGAAAAGTCTCTAAAACACCTTAGGACTGTGAATAATGTCTACTGATAAACAAAATGGAGTTTGTGAATTTATTATCAATGGAAAACAAATCCTTCTATCATGGGGTCCACTTTCTCCCACAAGCAGCATGTGGATTCAAATGGCCTAATGTTTGCTTTGGTGCCCAGTGCTTTAACCACTGTATCCCCAGGGCTCCTGTTAGGAAACAAAATTGAAACTGCTCCCGAATTCTTTCATGAGGAGCTCATGATGGTATCAAAACTGGAGTTTTAACAATACGTACGAGAGGACAGAAGGAGCCTTGGGAGCACAGTGGGTTACCTGTTAGGCTACTAACCAGAACATCAGCAGTTCAACTCCACCAGCTGCTCCTCAGGAGAAAGATGAGGCTTTCTTCTCCCCTAAAGATTTACAGCCTTGGAAACCCAAATGGGATCGCTATGAGTTGGAACCCACTCAAAAGCACGCAGCACAGCAACATGAGAGAACAGAGAAGAGCGACAGACCTTTTTAAAATGAGTGGCTGACTGCACTTTTCGTACTGGCTGCATAAGCGCATCGCGCACAATGATACTTATATCCGCCCCTGAGTAACCGTCAGTCTTCTTCCCGAGGTCTCGGAAGTCACTTTCTGTTAGACTGTTCTGAGTGGTCCCCAAGTGCAGCTTAAACATTGCTGCTCGGGCGTGGGCCTCAGGCAAAGGAATATAAATTCGCTTTTCAAACCTAAAAGTGAAAGACAAAATACATCAAGGATATTTAAAAAAACAAAACATACAGATCTTTAATTTTTAGAGAAAGACCTGCTGATCTGCTCCCATCATGGCAGCCCTGGAAATCCTATGGGGCTGGTCTGCTCTGTCACCACGGTCGCTATGGGTCAGAATGGATTTGATGGCCAAGAAGAGACCAGATACGCAGATGTTCTCAACCGCATACAGTTGGAGGCAGTGTTGGCTCAGGCAGCATGCCCAGTGCACCTTTGTGTGTAGCACCGTTTGTCTGTGACTGGACGTTTTCATGTCGCAAACATGCTGAACAGGAAAGTGACCACACCAGGGTGGCCTCAGAAGGCAGGTCTGGCACTCTGTCCTGATGTAAACCATCTGGATACACAGGCTGTTTGTTGCTGTTGTTGTTGTTAGGTGCCATTGAGTTGGTACCGACCCATAGCAACCTCATGCACAGCAGAATGAAACACTGCCTGGTTCTGGGCCAACCTCACTACTGTTGCCACGCTTGAGTCCATCTTTGCTGCCACTTGGCCAATCCATCTTGTTGGGGGTCTTCCTCTTTTTCTCTGACCCTTTCCACCTTACCAAACATGATATCCTTCTCCAGAAATTGGTCCCTTCTGACAATATCTCCGAAGTATGAGAGATGAAGTTTGGCCATCTTGGCCTCTAAGGAGCACTCTGGCTGTACTTCTTCCAACACAGATCTGTTGGTTC